TGCAAGAGGGCAGAGGAGACAGTATCTTCCGTTTTCCACAGCGTGAGCCCTGCAGGGCATCACGCTCTCTGCTCCCCCGGGCTCACCCAGCGTACGAGCGTTTTAGAGACCCAGAGAGAGAGCTCCTGTGACTTGTCCTCAGTCGTACAGCCAGTGAATGACCAGAGTAGGACGAGGATCCACACGTTCACACTCCAAACTCAAAGGTTGTGACGTTGAACACTGGCCCTCTTGCCTGTCTCTTTGTAGGAGCTGTTTCTTAGTAGGATGCCTTTTCTGAAGCCACAGGAGCTAAAAGGCGGCCCGGTGTCCTATCTGCCTCCCAGGAGGGCCGGTTCACCTGAGAGGAGGAACCCGTCACTTGCCCCAAACAGTGGCACAGCAGCGGCACTGCCGTTCAGAACCGGGCTCTATGCTTGGCACTCTACAGCGAGCCAGTGGGGTGGGGACGCGGCATCTCCACGTGACATATACAGCATGAAAGCAATCTTGGTTTCGTGCAGTCAGCCCAGGGTCTTCTAAGCCCATGCTCCCTCCTCCAGGCCAGGCCGCCCCGGCTCACTGTTACAATTCTCCCCGTAACTACTCCTCGCAGCCAACCTCAGGTTCTCACTTCCTCAGGCAGCCTTCCTGGACTCTTCCAGCCCACTCCAAAGTCCTAGTGCCTCTCACTCTGAACGCACATGTGCTTTAACCTCAACTAAACTATGAGCTTCTTGAAGACTGGAGCCCTGCCCCTCACTTCCAACCTCCTGCCTCCAAAAACAAAACATTTACCAGAGTTTGTGCTCTTTGTGTCAGACAATGTTGGCTTGGCAACTTTTAACCTTTAGAGGATTATATAGGTTTCTGGTTTTGCCTTTCCATGAAAAAGAGCAAGAACTTGCAAAGGAAATCGGGTTCCTAGCCACCTCCCAAGATTGGGTGGGCTCAGGGAAAACTGGATACTTAGGACCTGTGAAGGTAGGTTTGTTACTTAATAGCAACTTCTAGTACCTTGACGCTGGATGAGACACAGATAACCACTCAGTCCATTCCCTGGGGTAAGAGATAAGAGAAACCAAGGTCCGGGAGGGGGTGAAGTAATTTCTCCAGGTTCACATAACACGCTGTCCTCCAGAACCACTGATATGCGGGTGGTCACTGCCCCAGGAGGCTTCTAAGGACCATTCCAGAGCACAGCGGGGCTGGCTAAGTCGTGGTCAGACAATGGTTTTAATTGGTATGTGAAGGAGAATTATCAGCTTGCTAAAATCCAACATCCTCCCCGACACACCACTGCTCTTCTCTGGCCAGGACGCTTGTCAAAATGACTGTAGAGAACACACCACGCCAGCAGGGCGAAGCCCAAGTCAGAAAACAAGCACCCGAAACCTCCTCTTTTATTGTTTAAAATAATTTGGTGTAGCTCTACTTGTAATTCGTTACAGTCTTAGAACGTAAAATTAACTTTCTATGATTTAAAATACAGCCCCCAAAGACCAACAATGGTTGTTTCATAAGAATCCAACTTCCCCAAACTGCCCGAGGCTGCACTGTGATGCCTCAAACACCCAGATGAAGAAACATCTGGTGAGTCAGTATGGGACACAAAATGATGCTGACATTTCCTTCTTTTCACAGACAAATACAACTGAATACTCACTAATGTGGCCAAGTTTAGAAAAAGCTACACCCAATGATCAAAAAGTTTCAATGACAGGGGCACCTGTGGCTTAAAGGATGAGATATTCATCTCCCCTGAGAGCTTTTATGACAAATTTCAACTTCTAGAAATGGCATTTCAGTAACTTGTCCTTCACTGCTACAGTCCCAGAGCCACTGCCCGTGTGCACCATAGTGCGGCCTCTGCCCCAGCGGGCAAGGAAGGACATCTGGGGCTAAGTTCCCAGAGCAGCCTTGTGTCAGCCTGTTGTGTCCTGCCGAAGCCTGGGTTCTGTCTGTGAATACAAAACCAACGAGCTTCCTAAGGGAGGGAAGTTCCAGGAAAGCTCAATGGAATGAACACGCTTTGGAAGTACCAATTAGCTAGGAGAGTAGACTCTGCTTCTGCATGACTGACTCAGTCACTGGGTTTAGAAACATTTTAGATCCTTCCCAAGAAATGTCAGAACCATGTCTGAATGTAGTGACAAAAAAAACATAACACTAGAGAACTACCATGTGCAATATTCTATGCCAACAAGATGGCCACAGCACGAACTTGATGTGCGTCTAACTATTCTGCCCTAAAAAACAAACAAACAAACAAACAAACAAACAAAAAAGGGAATGATGGATGGAGACAGTTTGGGTAAAATAAGAGAAAGACTAGAAGAATTTCAAAAGAAAAGACAGACAAAGAAACCATACATAATCCTAAATATACACAAGTGCCCAAGGCTGGGAGCTTCTGGCCAAGTGACAGAGTGAAGTTTCACAAGGAAAATACAAGGGCACTCAAGGTGAGTATCAAAGTATGCAAAGCAGGGCAGGCCTGCCAATAAAGGCACTCCTTTACTGGGAACAGGATGTTTTCCCCACCTGCTTGGTCAGGTGATCAGTGACGGCAGTGAGGAGACCCTGGGTCACAGGGATGCCACAGGACAACTAAGGGCTGCTAAGCTTACTTTAAGCAACAGGTATTTTCTGCTTCTGTCCCTCAGGCAATTTAAAAGAGTTCACGCCAAAGAACTTTCTCTACTGAATTTCTCATTTTGCAGGAGGAAAAACACCCCAAAGAAACAAGATCCCTCAAGAAGACAGCTCAGTAAGAAACGGACTATTTAATTCTGCTCAGCTGTACTTCTTAGGGTCCACTGGCAAAGTTTCACAGTTTAAGATCAGGATGCCAGCTTTAAACACAGATATCCTCCAAGGGGATAGTCAGTAAGCGCCACACACTATGGAGGGCTTAGTGTCACCTCGATGCCACATTCTAAGTAGGTCCTCTCCAGAGGAAACAACATCAGGTGCTTCCAAGAGAACAGTTTTACTTCGGTTTTTGGTCAGGTATTTAAGAAGAGGCTATTAGGGTTTAAAAAAGAAGAGAAAAAGGTCAGCACAGGCCAGGCCACTTGCCCCAAGAGACACAAAACCTGCTTCACATACTGGTTCTGCCAATACCTGCCATGCATCACCTGACAAATGACAGCATGTTCTGGACCCTCTTCCCTCACTCAGGAATAATGGCGTTGGCTATGTTAGCTCACGGGTCCTCACACTTTACAGGAGTTATTGTAACAGGAAAGTGTTCTGTTCAAACATGAGTGATTTGTACTAGCACACGACGAAGCCAGATTTCTGAAGCGTCAACAGGTTAAAAACGTATCTATCACTTAGGGCGCCTGGGTGGCTCAGTCGGTTGGGCGTCCGACTTCAGCTCGGGTCATGATCTTGCGGTTTATGGGTTTGAGCCCCGCATTGGGCTCTGTGCTGACAGCTGGGAGCCTGGAGCCTGGAGCCTGCTTCGGATTCTGTGTCTCCCTTCTCTGTCCCTCCTCCACTTGTGCTCTGTGTCTCAAAAATGAATAAATGTAAAAAAAAAAAAAACAAACAAAAATGTATCTATCACTTTATGAACCCGTGTTGTGCCAGGCCCATCAGGTGGAGATGCCTAGACAGAGCGCGAGACCCCTACCCTTGTTGAGCCTGCAATTGTGGTGCGGGTTTCAGGAGATCAAACCTGTCACCGCTGGGCAGCCACATAAGCTGCTAAACAGAGAAACAGCACAATTTGGGGTCCAGATTCTTTTTGTTGACATATTCTTGCCGTTCCCTTAATCCACGAGTGTGCCCGTGAGAATCACGTGTGAGCCACGAGACTCAACTAAGCAGGTTATTCTCACTTGGGGTCCAATCCATCGAGGTTTTCTAATGCTCTAAGTATACAGTCCAATTTCCCACAGGGCTTTTGATTGGAAAGGCGTTACTGAAACCATCTGTATTTCACTGTTCTCTGTAGGTCTCTAGGCACTCGAAGGACTGGTGAGCCCCAGGGGCTGGACAAGGCAACGAGCAACCGGCTGGACTTACTGCGGGTCCAATCAGGGCCGGTCGTAAGTGTGCGGGGCACAGAAACACATTTTTCCAACTCTCCAGTAGGCGTCTGAGGTGCCAGGACAGTTGTTAGCATTCTACACGTTCAGGAGCGAGGAGAGGCAGGACATGGCTGCCTCCCTTCATCCTGAACTTGCAGAGAGGGGCACACTGAGAGGGGAGGGGAGGGAGGAAGACCGACAGGTATATGTAGCACCCTGTCGTCACTGGCCATGTCATTCAGTTCTCACAAGAAACTGTGACAACGTCCTCCTCCACCTTACCCACAAGCACACTGAGACGCAGAAGCTGAAAGAACCTGTCCAAGGTCGTGGAGCAAGGAAGCGTGGGTTCCAGCACTTGCACATCTGTCTCTCGAGCCAACCTCGATCTCCCAACAACAGTCTGGCAGGTGCCGAATGCCACCAGGAAAACGGCAGCCCCCTCCTTCTGACCACAGCAATTGGGAACCACCGACCAGGAAATCCCTGAGGACAGGTCAGGCCCGCTGTACACGTGGGAGTCAGGAACCTACCAAGTGGCACCAGGCCCTGAATGGCACCTGGGCTCAGCCGCCACACCAGCACTGGGACTGTCACCCTGAACCACGGCCTGGGCCGAGCTCCAAGGGAGCGACTCTTTTTTTGTTTCACATTTTTTTTTTTTTTTTTAAGCTTACTTATTTATTTTTGAGAGAGAGAGAGCAAAAGAGAGAGAGCAGGGGAGGCGCACAGAGAGAATCCCAAGCAGGCTCCATGCTGACAGCAGGGAGCCCGACGTGGGGCTCGAACTCACGAACTGTGAGATCACGACCTGAGCAAGAAGCAGACACTTAACTGACTGAGCCCCCCCCCTCCAAGATGCCCCCCAAAGGGAGCGACTCCTAGTCAGGCTGCACACTGATCCACACCCCTCTCTCCCCACACCCTCACTGCACCCCCAGGCCCATCTGCTCGGCACTCCTGGGCCAGAGGCCGGCTTACCTCCTTATGGGAGTCTTTGTGGGCTTCCAGAGTCTTCATAATCGTCAGCTCGGCATAGTTCTTAAATCTTGCGGGCTGGTTTCTCAGAATTTCCCGCAGAACTCTCAATGCTAGTGCTCGGATGGAATGCTGAGTATAAGAGGAAAGGAAGACATCAGCAAACAACACAGTGCTTCACTGAACATACTAGCCAGAAGCACCCAGCAAGGCCAGGCACCCAGCCCTGGGCTCCCCTGGCGTCTTGCTGGCACCCAACGCAGGTCACATTGCAAGCGTGGCACAGGCTGAGACAGCCAGTCCCATGAGGCGGGTGCTATGCCTATGCTGACATTCCCAGGACCCAGCACCTAAGACCTGAGGAAGGTTTCTGGAATGAGCCAAAAGAGGACCAAATGAGACCGAATGAGGGTGATACATCTAAGTTCATTATCAATCTCCTGGAGGATTTCCACGTTTTCTGAGATGTCGGTATGCAAATTACCCTTTGGTAAAGAACAGGTAACAAGCATCTAACCACTTCATCAACACGGCCTGTAAGATAGCCACAGACCTGTCTTTACTCCCGACCTTCTGTGTGATGAGATCACGGGGGCGGGTGGTGTGTACACACCTCGAGGTGTCTGAGGCCCAAGCTGTGCGTTTGGAGGAAAACCGTTCCACATGGGCTCCTAATCTCAGTAAAAGAAAAGGGGTTTACACCAAACTGAGCCAAAAACTACATCCTGATTCTTCGTCACTCGTCTGTGCTATTGGCTCACTAATGGACCATCTACCTGCTCTCTACGTGAGATCACTATCTCCCAACACAGCCTGACCAAGCAGGCTGTAAGGGAAGTGACTGTAGGTCCTCCATCACTGTACTTCTGTCTGTCCCCACCCTCCTCCATCACTGTACTTCTGTCTGTCCCCACCCTCCGCCAAACCATTAACCCGAAGCATCAGAAAGCAATCAGAGCCACCGCATTCGCCGGCCCCCTGTGCACCCGTCTTCCATCAGAGTCACCATCAACGTGACCCCGAGAGGGACCTTCACCGTGGGCTGTGTTGAGCTTCCTCAAAATCCACCTGGTCCTGCCCTTGAGTTCTTCATCACACCTGCTTCGTTGTTTCCGCGGCCTCCACAAAGCCCAGTGCACAGGTGGATTTTTACTTCTAGAGTTTCACTCAGACAATTCCCAACATCTGCTGCTGTCTGCGCACAAGGGACCGGCACACAGCTGGGAGAAGGCAGGACTCTGACTAGGTTACTCCCCCCTTTAAGAGTCATCTACATGGTCCCAGGTGTGGATTACGGACCGGGCACGGCACAAATTCCTCGTTGGTCACACTCAAAGGTCACAGGGCAAAGAGGGCTTTTGATTTAAAAAATAATACAGAAGATAACAGAAAACAACCCATGCTCCAGAACTGCTTGCTTAACCAGTTAAAATCACTGTTGCTGCTCACAGATGCCGGCTGCATCTACACAGAACTTCAGGGAAGGCAGCATCTAGTAGGGTCTCTTAAAAAATGAACTTCTCTATTTCTCAGTTACACGTGGAACCTAAAACTCACACAGAAAAAAACCTCATTGTAAAAAACCATTCCATGCTAACAAAGGTTTAAGAAATGCTGTGTTAAACAAAGTAACCTGAAGCAGGAACAAGTTTCCCTCAACTCCTACAAACCCAATTACAGAAGAAAACACACACATAAATAAGCTAGGAACGGGGCCCGTCTCTGACAGAAACATGACCTCACTAGCTGGTGCTCAGAAAATATTTGGAAAACGTTTTGATGTAAACAGCAGGCACAGTACAGAAATAAAGCTGAAGCCAAAGTCCAGAACGACAGGACTTAACAGCCTGTCACACGGGAAGGCGGGAACGCAAGGACGAGGAAGGCGCCTCACGTCTTTGTCTCCGAGCGTCTCCAGCAGCAGGAGCAGAATGGTCTTGAAGTGCTCCTCCCAGACGCCCAGGCTGTCTTCCCGGGTGATTTTGAGCAGCTCCAGCAGGGCGCCTTTCCGTTCCTCCACCCGCTCGTTGTGGTTGGACAGCTCTTTCAGAAGGTCAGCCACCAAGTCAGAATGGTCAACGGGCACTGGAGAGACACCGAGACAAAGTCACCTCACGAGGACCCCGCGCTGTGGACGCGCCCTCCGCCCGCTCTCCGCTCCCAGAGGCAGCCCCCCTCCGTCATTCCTGCCCCGTGCCCTTCACCCTTCTCTGCTGCCCGCTCGTGACACCCTTAGCAGGCCGTCTCACCAAACAGGAAAACAGAGATGTGGGAACAGATGTCAAGTACCAATACCAACATCCTTACCCTCCCCCACCGTCGTTTTCCCCCTTCGAGTTCAGACAAACAGGAGAAGCCACCTAAAAGTCTCTCCGTGACTGTCCTCCTCCCCCCAAATCTATCTCCACTGCAGCAGCTCCAAGTCAGGCCACCCCTGGACAGTCCCCTCCCGCCGTCACACCCACTGACACGGGCACATTTTCCTCCAGGCCCTCCTCACTGACCCGTCTGACATTCCTTCCCTCCCCGAACGTCCAGAGCTTAGTAACTAGCACAGCAAACAAATACTAATCAAGGTGTTGAGCCTGTGCGTGGACTGTCTATGCACAGACTGTACAACGTGCCAAAACCACTTAGCAAAAGGGCTTCAGCCATGAAACACCTATCCTTTCTCTTCCCATGAACTTAAGAGACCTCAACTCTGAACACTTCCTTTCAATAGAAAGGATGAAAAGGCAGAGACAAGTCATTAGGAACTACTTAAATCTGTATTTTCATACTCTTTTTTTTTTTTTTTTTTTTTTAGCTTCTAAGGTGTGAGGGAACAAACACACAGGAAGTGTGAAATGTTAAAGAACTCAATCATTTCCCCCCTGCCTTTCCACTTTTCTCTTTAGGCCTTTTAGTCAGTTGGTAAGCCTTACATAAATTTAGTGAGTTTAGGAAGCCTTTTACGCAGTTGGTAAATAGGGAACAACCAACACCCCAATCTCTGTTCTATCTTAAACAAGACCAACAAATGGGTAAGTTAAATGATGTGTCAACTGTCTGAACAATAAAAGGAAACAGCCCACTACTCCTAAAAAGTGCAATTCATAATAACCACCAAGCCATTAGCCTTGGGCCCAGTGAACAGGCACTGGGAATCCCTGGGAATTTACGGAGTTGCTACCCACGGCAAGTAACCACCTAGGCACATGCCTTCAAACGACTGCAGGACTTCATTTCTGTCTTAGGATCCCATCGCTATTGTGGGGCTTGAACTCACAGCCCTGAGAGTAAGAGTCACGTGCTCTGCCAACTAAGCCAGGCAGGCGCCCCCCAGTTCCCCTTCTTTTGTGTCCCCACTGAAACCAGCATCTGCTTTAGCGAGGCGCCCTCTCTTTCCAGTGCCATTGTGTTAGGTCTTTTTTCTCGGACAGGCCATGAGTTGCTCTCAGGCCAAGGACTCTGTCTGATTTGCCTCCTTGTCCCCAGCAAGCTATACACTTCATGACACACAGTGAATGCTACCTGTTTAGGGTTCTAATTTAGGGTTCTGATTTAATTCTTCATTTAAAACTGAAAAACAAAACAAAGGCTTGGAAACAAAACAGATATATACGTATATTAAAAAAAAAAAATAACTATTATGTGAACGTGACGATCAGGTGAAAAAAGAACTAATTAAGTTCCAGACAAAAACAGCATCATTCCAATGCACGCTTACTCACCGGTTACTCAGTAATGGACACTGGTCTTAACACAAGTGTCAGAAAACAAAGCACGTCATCAGACTAGTTCTGTTCGTGCCAAGTATGTTATATTTGGGGCAAGTAACTTAACCCTTCTGAATGTTAGTTTTTTAACCTGTGAAATGGGAATAATCCCTTCTATCTCATTAGGTATGTACAGAAAGCAGCTGAGCGGAAAGCACATGGTAATGCAGGAGCTCAGTATATGCCAGATCCCCTCTCTCTGAACTACGAGACAGAAGTCAACCAAAGCAGCTCCAGGAAGGCCTGGTTAAAACGCTGGTGTGAGAGAAAAGCAGGGGGCTCTCAGTGGTGCTACCGGGCCCTCCTTCCATAGCTCAGGGCTGGGAGAGGACACACAGACGCGGAGCCTGTGCTGGGATGGCTTGTGCCTCTGCCTCCCACCCGCTAACTGCTACTCCCCTCGCGCTTCTGACCTCCACTCAGGCCCTTGTGCCTCGCGGAAGCCTTCCGAGGGGCACAGCTGACCTTCCTTCACTGCACAGTGTGCAGCCCTAAGTTTGGGTCACGGGTAGTTCCTGGTTTCGTGACTGGCTCTACGAAAGCCAGGCTGCTGGCTTCCAGAGAGCAGGGACTGTGCACGCTTCTGTGCACAGATGTGCTTTCCATGCCTAAGCACATGGTGGGGGCTCAGTAAGTGGCTAAACGAAGGACTGTCTGCATGTGTGTTTGCCCTCTACACCCCAGAGAGAGCCACAGAAAGCTCTTCTGGATGGTGGGGGGCGGGGGGGGGGGGGGGGGGGGAGTTGGATGGGGGTCAAGCAAAGAGGAACAAACCATCTCGAAGCTGCTCCATGTCATCATCGAACACGGCCTCCTTCAGGGCTGTCTTGTCATAGGCGTTGATGGTGTCCGAGTAGGGGTAGGGATTGTAGTCTCGCGCCCGCGGCCCAGGGAAGGCGCGGGGGGGCTGGGTGTTGAGGAGGGACGTCTTGTTGTCCAGGGCCGTTCTGCCTCCTTCCACCACATCACTGCCTCCCCGGCCCTCCGTGGCAGGCGACGCAACTCCACCATCGCGGGACACCTGAGGCACGGCACACGGTCAGTTCCTTTTTAGGACTTTTAACAAACTCTTCCTTTACATTTTCAGAAGTATTGGGACAGCCAGATTTCTCCCTTGAAATCTGGCCACTGACCAAAGGATAGTTACTAGGTTTCAATCTGTAAACCATCCAATTCATAAACTACCTGAGCGGGAACTGAACACTTATGTTTTCCCCTCTCCACTCGCTAATTTACATGTAAAGTCTGTTAATTTACATCTGAAGTCTGTTTTGTAGGTGGTGATGACTTTTGACTTAAATGTTTCTTTAAAAAAAATTTTTTTTAAATTTTTATTTATTTTTGAGAAAGGGAGAGAGAGAGAGAGAGAGAGAGAGAGAGAGAGAGA